AAATCAAGAATTTTGTGGTCAAAAGGTAACAAACCGCCTAGTCAGCAATTTTTTTGCTTAGCAACAATACAATCAAATGGCATTATTGCTGCGCCCACGCGGAAGTTTCCAATCCCTTTCATCAAGAGTACATAATTTACTGTACTCTTGCTTTCATTTACTCTACTATCTATGCTGTTTTCCAATTGTTTAATTGACCACACCCATCATGAATTATATTAATAGCATGAAATTTTTTTGGTGCACTTCATGCACCAATTATTATTTTTCCTAGCCTGGGCATCAAAAAAGTTCTGGTTATGCCACTCGTTTCACTAAGTGTGTTTAATTTAGGGATGGTCACTGTTTATTCTTTCCATCATGCTATTTCACATTACAGTGTGTGTTTGTGAACATTGCAGCCTGTTCATTGTAATTTTATAAATAATGTTTGTTTAATAGTAATACTCCTTTCCTCTCTGACTCATTCTTTGTCTGCCTGCATGCTAATTGATGTTTGATTAAGCATAGTAATTTAAGTGTGCCAGCCTTTGTCAGATTCTTCATCACCCTCTCGCCCCCTCTAGGGTTTGTTGCTGTTGTTAATAAGTCAATGAGTTCTGAATTCTCACAACTGGTGGACTCAGCTCAAGAGTTCCTCCCTCTCCTCCCTTGGGGGGTGGAGTTTGAAAAGGACAAGTTCCTACGTCCAGACTTTACTTCACTTGATGTTGTGTCATTTGGAATACCAGCTGGTATCAATATACCTAACTGAGTGGGTGGGGTTAGGGGTGTGGTTATGATCCTTACGTTAGATGATGAGATAAGACAGAATGAAGGATTTAAGAATGTGTCTTTGGGTAATGTATTGTCAGCTGCCTCACAGGATAAGAGGGTCACATTCCTTACAACAGAGGATCAGGTGAATTTATTTAACTATAACACTAAAGAAATTGTGAATTTTTGGGGGGTTTGGGGGAGGGGTTGATTAAAATACAACATTAATAACAATAACAGAACCATTATAAGTTGTCTTGAATGATATATGAATCTATTGGCTGTAGTGAATGATTACTGATTGATTCTGAAAAAAAATCAAGTTGAGGGTGAATTACATTAATCAGTTATTCACAGTTACTATTTGGTGAAGGGCATGCTCTACTCATGCTGAATATTAAAATAGTTTTATAAGACACTGTTATTGCTATGATTGCCCTCCTCAGCTGATATTACTACTCTATACTGATCTATGTTACTAGTGTCATTCTAATCCAGTGTTGTTCCACCCACCACTCATAGGCTCACATGCAGGCTCGTTATGTTATATTACGTGTATTGATGGATTCTGATACTCCTGTATTTAATATTGAGAGTGTTACTGGCTCTGATGGTAAGCCTGACCTCTTGATCAGGTTTGATAGGAATAAACTGGAGACCATTGCTAAACCTGTCATTGGAGAATTCTTAAATAAACTGCAGGTAAG